AACTAAAGCTGACATAGATACTTTATTATGGTATAGTATTTAAATATATGCCTGAGAAACACATAATATTGGCCCTTTAAGACCCAATATAATATTTTTTTTATCTAAAAAAGCATCTCCAGGGCAACACATCAGGCAATATTTTCCTTTACGTTTTTTAAAATACACCTCAATGTCAACTACATCCATTCTTATTCTGTTTATTTGTAATTCCATCTCATAATTTGTCTAACTGTGCTGTGGCAGCTTCCAAAACTTATAATAAAAACAACTTTCTGACAGATTTAATAAAGTCCTTCCACTGGTTCATCAGATATTTTGCTAACAGACAAATGAACATATCCACATGCAGGCAGTTATATTATCAGCATTAATGCAGATAATAAAAAGTCAAGAATACCTCAAAATGATATTTTCATACAACTCTACAATAATGACATATTTCTGCCAAACGCTTCACGCTGACACCTTAATGTCATAAATGTGATTCAGAGCCAGCCATTACATCATCCCTTTCAAGGGTTAACATTTGAAGTTGTGAATATCTGAGGATGTCAAATCCAAGCTGAATGAAGTTCATGCAATGTCAGCTGGCATTTTATACACACTTAACTGCCAACCAGAGATCCATTACCAACATATTTTATGTTTCCACTTCCTCCAAGTGATTGACAGCTTTATTTCACACAAATAATTCCTGCAGGCTTTTGCAAAAAAAAAAAAAAAACCTTACGAGATGACTGACGGATAAATAGAGTGTCAAACCGATGCAAAGGCAGCAGTTTGAGTTTTTTGTTGTACCTTTCCTCGTCAGGGCTACATTAAATCAGCTGTTTAGCCTGCTATTGATGGGATAAACTGAGCTAACTTCAGAGGCTTGAAGAGGAATGGTTCACCTCACAAATGTCTCATCGATAATGGTCGGTCTGCAGAGAGAAGAGTTATGGAGTCGACGGACACGCCGACTGGTCAGGAGGTCAGCGAGGCCTGCAACAATCAATAAACCCTGACCACGGGAGGCACCGGAGCGGAGAGGCTGAAGTTACACAAGTGTTAAAGAAATCAACCCCGCTGCACAGTTTTTATCATTTAAAGTACGCTGGTGTATAATTAATATTGATGTGTGCATACAGTATGCTGTTACTGCCCGCTGCCAAAGGGATTATGGATGGATTTTAGTGAAACTTTCATAAAATAATCACTGGATGTGCGTTTACAACTGATTAACTTTTAGAGTCAAACTATTCAAGATGGCCACCACAGCTAATTAATTTTAGCCATAATAAAAACAGCTATAACTCAGTCAGTTTTACAGATCATGAGCTAAAATTAGTTGTAGAAGCTGAGAGTCTTCAACAACACATTTTGAATGTGACGGTATCGCACAAGGCTTTATCGATTGGAACTCATTTCTCGACATAAGATGACCGCTGCCAGACTCTCTGGCCTTTAATTTTAAATCGATATAAAAAAGGGAAAGGGAAAACCAACAATAGACTCCAGTTTGTGCCTTATTTACATTTTACTCTTTTGGTTTTTGCAGAATATGAAGTCATTTGGTTGCGATGCAGTTTCCTAACTGCCTGATGGTTGTCCTGCTGTGAACCAAATTAAATAAACTGAGCTGAACCAAACCAGGCCAAAAGCACAAACACCAACATGAAAAAGCCTAAAAAGGAAACCCAGATAGTTTGATTTAAAGCCTGCTGAGAAAAATATCATTTAGGAACATTTCTAAAAGAACCAAATAACCTGACATACTATTTATTTTAGACTGCCGGTGATGTCAACCGTTCATCCATCTCACCTGTCTTTGGTTAACCTCGGTCAGCTGGATCAAACTGAACTCAGGTTCCAGAAGATTTCTGGCTGTAATTCTGAATTTGAATCCTGAATCGCCTGGTCTGACATTTTCAGAGCAGCTGATGTCAATCAATGGGTAAGGTTATAAGCCTGAACATGATCTGTCTGAGAAACCAGAGACTGGTTTGTTTGCTCAGAGTGGCAAAACTTTCCCTTTCCCAACAACCTGAATACTGGGTCACTACAGTTCAGATCAACACAAATGAAGATTTCTAACAGTTGAGTGTTATAGGCGTTAAAATAGAAATAATATGCATTCTCACTTAAAAAATGTGACAATCATTGCAAAGCTTGGTTACTTCTGTGCATTTTGTTATAGAATCGTGGCAAATCCTCCTTAACAAGAAAAAATTAAGCTCTACAACAATTTCTGTGGCACGATAAGACAAAACTGTAACAAATGATTATGTACAACCTTCTTCAAGGTGTCTCATTTCATTTAACAAGTTCAAATTATGTCATAGGGTGGTTCAGTTGCTAGAGCTGATGCCTCTCAGCAAGAAGGTTGCCAGATCAAATCCCTGCCCGGGGACCTTTCTGGGTAGAGTTTGCATGTTCTCTCCGTGCATGTGTGGGTTCTCTCCGGGTACTCCGGCCTCCTCTCACAGACCAAAAACATGACTAGCTGYGTTTCCATTGACCATGAAAATGCGCAAATTAGAATTTCGAAAATATATTTGCTCAATGGAAACACATCAATTTAGAAAAAAATGACGTTTTTCGACAAAATGTTTTTGTGCTAGGATGAGGTGGTTTTTCTGGCGTATCAAAATTGGTGTTTTTCGCAAAACTGCAATGGAAACACTTTTTTTGCATCACAGAAGTCAAGTGATCAACAACTGGCTGTTTCTACTGGTGAAAAAGACGATGACGAAGATGATAACAGGAAGTAGAAATAGTAGTAATATCATAGAAGTAATATCAAACCAACTCAACGACTACAATTTCCCAAAAACACAGCATACGTAGCCGCTCCCAAGTAGGGACTTGTCTCTGGAAAGCCTCGATAAAAGACGTCTCCTCTGATCATGAGCTCTAGTGTCGCGGTAGCAACATGCTACAGTATGTGTTTTACATCCATCATCGCCATGTTTGTAATGACTTATCATGAGAACAAACGTATTCACGCATGACTTTAATAACATTTTTTACTTAAAGGAAACACAGCAGTTGTGAAACTGTGTTTTTTCAACATCAAAAGAATATCGACAAAGTTTTGCGCACATTTGCAATGAAACACAGCTACTGTTAGGTTAACTGATAACTCTAAATTGTTCCTAGGTGTGAGTCAGAGAGTGAATCCTTGTTTGTCTCATTTGCTCTATGTGGCCCTGTGATGGACTGGAGACCTGTCCAGTGTGTACCCCACCCCTCGCACGGTAACTGCTGGATATGGGCACCAGTGACCCTGAAAGGAATAAACGGGTATAGATAATGGATGGATGGATGAAATTATGTCAAAGGGAAGTTTGAAAACTAGGGTTAGGAGTCACAAACAGGCTGTTAAACAACTGACATCCTGGTATTTTTGGTGTGTACAACATCAACTGAACATGAAAAGAGATTTTTAGCCAACAGATGATGTTGAATGTCTTTGGGTCGATAGCTGAGAACAACAAATGAGTGTAGAAGATCTGTGACTGACTCAGCGTATTACACTGCTCAGATGTGACGTTTCTCTCCCCACAACAAGCAACACTTTYCACATAAACATGATGAGGAGGAGAACCTGAAGACAGGAGACGACTTCTTCATTACTAACCTGAACTTTATCGCCTATAAAAGCRTAAGAAGCTCTGAAGCTTCCTCAACAAACTCCATCACCTTTTAGATATTTTTGGATTCAGATCAGCCGCTGGATGTACCCAATTACTGTAACTGCAGTTCCAGCTACCTAAACTCATCAACAGCTGGCAGGTTTGCAGCATKTTTTGCCAAGTGTCTGAGCCTGATTACATTCTGGTACCAAACACACAAAATAACCAAAATGTTGGTTTGATGAGAAGCAATTTCCATAACCAGAAGCACAACTTTTAAATGTGACGGATTATCATCAACTCTTTAAGCCTTCTCCAAACATCTTTAGCTCTGCAGCGTTCCTAAACATCTGGTTGTCCTACTCACCCTCTCCAGGTCCTGACGGAGGTGAGTGAAGAGTTTGAGACGTCTGTAGAGGACATCCTGCTCCTGCTGGGCCAGGTTGTCCACCTCGTCCCTCTTTAATGTGACCAAAGGCTGATTGAAGTTGGTCTTCCTCTTCAACTTCCAGAACTGATATAAGAAGTCCATCTGCAAAAGTGGAGAGCTTATTAAATCTACTTTGGAAATAAATCAGCTTGTTTTAACGTAGGGGTTCACCAAAGAATCGGCTGGCCAAATTATTGGCCCAGATTTCCTTAATTGTGGGAGACTGGAGATCGGTCTGAAATCAGCCACTGTCTCCTTTCACTCTGCTGTCAGCACTACCTAATGTCCAGTTAAAACCTGTTMACATTCAGCGGAACGCCCGCGTGCCGTTTTTCATTCATTTTATTTTGTAGTAGCAAATCTGTTTCCTGTTCAGCCTGTGTCCATGTGCAATGCATCAAACTTGACGTCTAGGCCCTCCTCTTTCGATTGACACCTTATTTGACCAACTGGGTTCAAGCATCTACGGTCCAGGGCCAATACAATATCAGAAGTGACCAACTTCCGGTTTTCGTCATCCTGGCTTTGACTGACTGTAAAATCGGCCAATCAGCTCCAAGCTTCGTTCTGATGACACAGCTGTGTAGCCAATCACCGTACCTTTCATTTGGTGTGTATACAGTAYATACGTATATATATAGGGGGTGGGAACTTTGTTCAGTGATAGAGAATGAAAACATGCAGAGGAACCCATTTTCACACAGTCCTGCATGCTAATGATGGAAGTTAACACTTACAGGAAAACATTTTTTTCATCGTATTTTGGCCAGTTATCTGACTAAACATGCTGATAAGATGAAAATATATTGGCTATTAAGTGTTTCAAGTGCTTCAAGACACGGAAGAGGGATTTTTGTGGCCAGAAGAAGTTTAAAAGTGTGGAAAGAGACTTCCGGTCGCCATTTTGAATCGCTAATTTGGACTTATTTGAGGACAAATATTCATCAAAATTGAGTCAAAAACAAACATTTTTTCGTTGCTGGTGGTTTTATAACGTGTGTGGAATGTTAACACTCTGAAAGAAATAAGGATATATTGGTATATTCTTGTGGTTTGGCTGTTATTGGTGGAAATTTGGCTGAATGGACTCGGGTTGGTGTAAATATTTATGAATATTAATCAGAAATCGACCGATACAGGTTTTTGAAGGCCGATACCGATTTTTTTAAACATCAGTCTAACCGATACGTGCAGCCGATATTTTTTTGGCCGATTCTTGAAGCCGATACTACTTTTTCTTCCTCCATTAACA